GTGGGTCCATAGGAGAGGTCACGAGTTAAATGAAACATTTGAATGTACAAAGATGATTGGGAGCTGAGCTTTCCAACCCATTCAGAGTATGGCTCCCACACACCTTAAATATTTAGTGCATGCAACTTCTAGAGATTTTCGACCTCTTTTTACACACATCACCCTCACCTCGTCCAATTCATCGTGTGCACTAAATAACTCACCTCAAGGCGAAGAATTGATTCCACTTTCCGTCCTCCGATTTAGGGCTGGGCACATGGGGGATTTCAATTCGGTTTTTATCGGTTTCGGTTCGGTTCGATTTGGAACGGGTTAAAAAATTATTATCTAACAAAAACCATACTATTTTTCGGTTTGGTTCGGTTCGGTTTGGATTTGTTAATTTTTAATAATATATGAAGATTTTTTTATTTCTTTAGTTCGGTTCGGTTTAGTTCAATTTTTATCGGTTTCGGTTCGGTTTAATACGGTTTGAAAGAAATAGTACCAAACTCAAACCAAATTGCATACGACCCGGTTTCGGTTCGGTTTAGTTCGGTTTGGTACGGTTTGGTTCGGTCAAACCAAATCGTTATGCCCACCCCTACTCCGAGTTTTGTGTCATTTCCATATTTAGTTCTCGTCTTTCACTTTATTCATTTTTGGTATCTGACAATTGTTTTCCTGACCATTTTTTATCCATCTATGGGCATGTTTACTACCGGAAAAGGATTATATATGGTCAAGAAAACAATAGTCAGATACCAAAAATGAATAAAGTGAAAGGCGTGGACTAATTGTGGAATTGGTTCAAAACTCGGAGGACGAAAAGTGGAATTTGTTTTGGAAGGCGAATATATGATCGTGTTAATGAAGGAGAATTCCAAGTGTGAGGTGTGGTCAACTTGGGCCACTCCCCCTTAACGAAATCTAATGAATTTCATTTGGTCCAATGTTACTCGCTCGAAGTATGCTCACCAATGGAAGGTATGGTCACCTATGGAAATTTTAATTGTTGTACATAAATAAGTGGGAAATAATATTTTGTAATTTTGAAGTTTTGATTGGTGAAATAGTGAATAATCAAATAATTATTCACCAGGACATTTGGGAGAATAGACCAACCCCCCAAAGCAGTTAAGGATGTCATCAATTAAGTTTGATCTGCATTATATTCAATCCAAGTCAAATTGTTGTTAGTACGGGTCAGTTCAGGTTCATATAGAATCGGTTAAAGCTCGAATCAGAAATCGTCACACTTTCTTTTTTAATCTAAAAGCCCGTTTTTTAAAGTCGTTCAAAAATACAAAACACATATAATAGCACAAGAAATAGTCTCCAAAATAATTGATAGAGTATATGGGTCTGGACCCCACGACCCACGTACTCAAGAATGATTACCTCGACCTAGCTCCCTCGGCCTGACCACCTCAACCAGGACCTTTACAAGACAGTTTTTACTTTGTGCTTAGCATAACAACTTCGTATAATCAGCCCACTAACGACACATCATTGTAATCGGGCCTCCCATGCCCAAGATGTGGGAGCCCAATCCATATTTCCTCTATAAATACTCCCTTTGAGAGTAGGTTTAGGGGGTTGGAAAACATTGAATGCAAAAGACTTTCTCTCTCTAGGTCTCACTTCTCTCTAGATCTATAACGAACCTATCAATAACCAACAACGGAAAATCAGTCACAATATCGCGTTTAAGATACATATGAATAAGTAATATATGTATGATTGTATATTATGTTGATTTTATATTAAGGGTAACAAATCTAGATTTTGATCATCTTGAGTCGGGTTATAGACTTAGGGATCTTTAGTGAGTCTTAATTTTTAGGTTCTGCTCGTTTTTTAGGGTAAGAACATATTTAATATAAGGGAAAACTGTAAAATAGGTCCTCGAACTTTCATAAAAAGGTCAAATAAGTCCTTATATATATAGGAGGCTCTGTCCGGCCGTCGCGATTTGGGGCGGTTTCCGGTGGAATTTTTTGATGAAAATTTTTTAGCATCTTATTCATCAAGTCTAGTTTACTCATACCAAGTTTCAGCTAAAACTTCAATCGGGAACGCATTCAAATTAATTCTCGAACAGAACCGCGAATATGGAGCGTGTCCTGAACAATAAATGCAACAGCTCTATATTCAGCTTCAGTAGAAGATCTAGAGATAGTAGGTTGCTTCTTGGATGGCCAATATACCGGAATAGGAACTAGAAAAATAGCATACCCAAAAGTAGAATGACTACTATCAAGACAACCAGCTCAGTCAGCATCAGAATAAGCAAAAATAACTTGTTGACGTTGGAAGAGTGAAAAACCAAGCCATGAGTAAAAGTGCCCTAAGGATACTTGAAAATATGCTAACAACCAAAAGATGTGAAGTGCGGGCATGCATAAATTGAGACAACAGATGTACATCATAAGTCATGTATGGACGAGTCAAAATTAAATATTTTAATGCACATACCATCCTCCTATACTCTGTAGGATCAACAAGAAGCTCTTGATGGACAGTTTGGTTTGACTAATAATGAGGACCGAACTGGTTTTAATGTGTTAAGGTGGAAACGATGCAGAAGATCTTAAATATATTTATGCTGAGACAGAAAAAACAGCGACCGTACGAGACGCATGAATGCCAAGAATAAAGTGCAGATCAATCATGTTCTTCATAATAGAATACTTTGTTAATAAAGAAATAAAATGACTAATAAACTTATCAAAGAGGTAGAATCGCCACTAACCATAGTATCATCGACATATAACAAAAGGTAAATAATACAATAATCATGTTTGAAAATAAACAAAGAATCATATGAGTACCTATAGGTAAAACCAGGGTTGAAAAGAAAACTACTAAACCTATAAATCCATGCACGAGAAGCTTGCTCCAGCCCATAAATGACCTTGCGAAGATGATACAAATGATGATGAAACTAAGGGTGAACCATATCCGGAGGCAGAGGCATATAAACTTCCCGAGTAAGGTGATCATGCAAAAAGCATTAAATTCTTGACATCAAGCTAACGAAGAGACCAACCAAATGAGACTGTTATAGTAAGAACAAGACGAACAGTAGTAGTTTGACAACATGACTAATAGTTTCAGGAAAAAATCAACACATGTGAGCAAATAAGCGAGTTTTATATTGATCAACAAAGCTATTAGAAAGATATTTAGTTTTATAAATTCACGTAGACCCAATCACATTCTTACCAGCATCAAAAGGTACCAAATCTCCAGATTGATCAGCGAAGAGTGCATTAAATTCATCAACTATGCAATTAAAATCTTTATTATCAAAGAAAAACAACTGGGATCTAGTGCAGTAACATATGTATTCGAATTAAAAATTTGTTTGGGTTTAAAAATGCCAAATTTTGGACGCGTCTGCATGGGGTGCACATTACTTAACAAGGCGGACTAGGAAGGTAGAGGGGGACAGTCAAGGAGGGGGTGAAGAGTCACTGTAGAACTAGCGTGAAGGGGGACCAATCGCCGAAAATTCATCTAAGACAATGTCGGGCAGAATAGGGGTAGAATCATCGACAGACGATGATAGCCGCAATGAGTGTGGGGGATCTGATCAGGCGAGGGGGAAGATACAGAAGTGGGAGGAGGGGGACTGGCATGGGTCTAGAATATGAAAATTTATAAGTAGTTTGTAAATATCTCGACTTGTTTACAATTTCACTAATAGAACCAGCATAAAAGTTTAACATCATCAAGTGAGTTTTCATTTTTTGTGAAACAATTCACAAATGTAAACTATGATTATGAGTTTTTCCTGTAGAAGTTACTTTTGTGAATGTGTAAAAGTAAGTAGGCAAGAATCCATCGATTTGAGTTTGAGCTAAATTAAATAATGATTATATAGTAGATTTAGGATGGTTTTACTTGGACTATTTTTCAGTTCCAACCAGATTTAAATTGATCAAGCCAGATCAAATCAGACTGGACTTTTATAGTTATAAAATACACAGAGACCAGACATTTACAAGACCAAACCAGTTCAGACCAGACGAGATCAGACTTAAACATACCAGACCATACAAGACCAACAAATTTCAGTGCAAGTAAAAGCATCCTTAGACAATAGTGCGGCATGCTGAATGAGAAAAAAGGAAATGTTTACACTAAAAAGTTTAAAGGAAATTAGTTTGTGACAGATTCCACAAGCTTAAAATTAAAAGTTATTGCTATTAATTTAACAATTTCCTAATTTCATCCACAAAATATTAAAGAAATAATTATAGTTTTATGACTAAAATAAAGCTTATTTTAAAAAAATGTGATCTTGTATGTGTAATGATTATAATACTCCATCTATATTCATCATGTGGGCAACCTAGCAAAGCTTTAGTGTTTGGTTCTGGACCTCGGCACAGGCGATGAAGAGATAGGGAACGACGAAGGGCTAAGCAAGGGAGAATACAGATCGGCGGTACGTCCCCCGCCTGAACCGCCGCCTTGTTTTGATCTAGATGTCGGGGTTTGGAAGATGAAAGTTCAAGAAGTTTGGAGTTTTTGTCAGGTATTCTATTTTTTTGGGTCTTATTTGCGTATTATGTTTGTTTACGGTGTTTCGTTTTTTGTTGAGGTTTTCAATTTTGGGTCTTTGATAATGATTGTCAATTCTACTAGATATTATGTCATTAGAAGAATCTATATGACCTGTGATTGTTGTGTCACACCCGCTTGATGGTTATCGACTCGTATTGCTCTTTCATGGGTGATCATCTCAGAGTCTAGTCGAAGGGTTGATTGCGATAGTTGGTTAGGGATAGTTTTTGTCAGGATTGGTCTTTTTGAGTCTGTTGTAACGATCCGCTTCCTATTGATTTGACATTAGAGCTGGATTTGATGATCAAAAAATAATTAATACGAGTAATAATAATAATAATAATAATAATAATAATAATAATAATAATAATAATAATAATTACTCCTAATTAATAACTTAACAACCAACGGGAATGGTTAATAAGGCTAACACCGCACCACCAACCCCCAACCTACGCTGTTCTTATCTTTTTACTTCCGCATTTCCTTTCATTCCCCTAATTCTTCGCGTCGCACTCCTCTCGTCGCCGGCCGCCGACATTCTCATATTCCGGTCATCAGCCGGACTTTTTGCCTGATTATTCGCCAGATCTCCGCGACATTCGTCGCCAATCTATCACATCCCATTTCTAGGATAACGCATATTTTCAGTTCTGGTTTCGCCTCCCTAATCCTGGAGAGATGGAAGCTTTCTGATGAATTTGTATCAATGCTTCAACGAAGTTAGAAACTTCACTCTATTTCTAGGAGGGTTATTTTTCGTTCGGTCGTTCCATTAACGCGGTCCGGGGAAAAGGATAAGGATTCTTTATTTTCTTTTAGGAAGTCATCTCGGTCAGATTTAAGATTTTCTTTTCTAAACGGCATCTCTTGAAATCTGGAAACCGATACCATTATCGGTTGAAGTTTTGGATCAATTACGGAAAGTCTTCGATCCCACATTATTCGAGAACACGCAATTTGATTCTAAATTTAGGGGTGAGATTTTGAAGAATGCAATATCGGGAATTACAGAGAAGAGGTTAAATGTGTGTGGATTGATGTGCAGAGGAGAGGTGGAGGAGAGTGAAGTAGCGAGAGAAGAACAAGCGGGCAGCGGCAATGGGGATGAAGACGGCGACCAAATTTGGGGATAGTCGGGTGGAGAAGCTCAAGGGCTCGGTGTTTTCATCTCATTCAAGAACGAAGCTGTGGATGATAAGGGCAACTACGTCGGTTCTGTTGTGGACTTGCTTTGTTCAATTGACGACTTTGGGGGAGACTTGGGGTCCAAGGGTTTTGAAGGGCTGGCCGTCCTGTTTCTCCCAGGAATCCTCTTCAATGCATCTCAGTGCGGATCGAGAAGTTCCTGCTAGAGTCCTCCCACCTAAGAGTGAGTCCTCCTTCTCCTCCTTCATTGTACTTGCCTATTCGATTACTCTGTGATCTGATGTTTCTTTTCTTTTCCTTTTACAAAATCTGATGGTTAGATGTTAGTATTTTGATCTGAAAGGTCTGAGGGAAAATATGTAAACAAATAGTAAGTGGATTTGCTAGAATCGATTTCCCACTATTGGGGAACTATGACTTGCTAAAACTCTTGGAGGCAGGGTTTCCGTGTTCTTTTAGAGAACTCTATGGAAACAATTAGGAAATGTTTGGTTCCTGGAAAATGCTAGGGAAAGGAATCAAAATGCTCATTACTTTTATTATGTTTTGATTTTCCTTGTATAATACAAAAGAAAATGAAAAATGATTGATATTTTTAATTTTCCTTACATACGATTTAATGACTTATTTAATACGTAGTATATAGAATTAAATAAATCAGGTTGAATGTGATCAAATATAAAAACATTACCAATTATTTTAGAGGGTTTTCACAAAATATTACTGAAGCCATACTTACAGAGAAAAATATAACTTAATGGTTACTTTCAGCACCATTACAGTAATTACACCGGTCAAATTTAGTCACACTATGCATTAAGGGGATCACAATAATGTGAATCTCTTATTTTAGTAATACATTAGTCACTATTGCATTTATTTATTGAGTTTGAACCAATTTTTTGTTTTCCTCAACATTTTCTTTTCTCCCAATGTTTTCTCATATTTTCTTACCTATTATCTTTTCCTTACATTTCGCATTCCAAACAGAGCTTTATTATCATAATAAAAAGCGAGACCTTTATATATTTTTCTCGAAATTCTGGTCTTTTTAATCTTCATCTTTACTGATCTGTTGTTCCTTTTGAGTTTGTCAATGAACTTTCAAGACTGATCTTCCTTGGGCTTGTTACTCAATCCAGGGCTTTATAAGAACAATGGTTATTTGATGGTTTCGTGTAACGGAGGCCTTAATCAAATGAGGTCAGCGGTATGTAATTTATCACCTACCTTACTAGTTGCTTCGCAACAGCTGTCTGCTGCCCCTGATAAATGAATTTGACACGGTTTATCTTTTTCTACTGAGGTTACAGATATGTGATATGGTTGCTATTGCAAGACATTTGAACGTCACACTCATTGTTCCTGAGCTTGATAAGACCTCTTTCTGGGCTGATCCAAGGTATGTATGTTTCTTCACTTATTTAGTTGTCTTCCCTAAGAATATCAATCTGATCATGTTCTTATCGGATGGGAATTTCGTCATTTGCAGTGAGTTTCAAGATATATTTGATGTTGATCATTTCATCACATCCTTGAGAGATGAGGTCCGGATTTTAAAAGAGCTACCTCCAAGGCTCAAGAGGAGAGTGGAGCTAGGAATAATATTTACAATGCCGCCTGTCAGCTGGTCTGACATTTCTTACTATCAAAATCAGGTTGGCTTTCTTATTTTTCGATAGTACATTGCTCTTAGTTATGGTGATATGCTCTCCTTCCACCCTAATCTTAAATAATTAAACAACTACAAACCAGATTCTACCATTAGTACGGAAATACAAAGTGGTGCACTTGAATAGAACGGACGCTCGTCTTGCAAACAACGGTCAGCCATTGGAAATCCAGAGACTGCGTTGCCGTGTAAATTTTAGTGCCCTGAAATTTACACCACAGATTGAAGAGTTGGGAAGAAGGGTTATCAGCCTTCTAAGGGAAAAAGGACCTTTCATTGTACTGCATCTTAGATATGAAATGGACATGTTGGCTTTCTCTGGTTGCACCCAGGGATGCAACAACGAGGAGGTTGAAGAGTTGACAAGAATGAGGTAATATTATATTCTGCCTGTTCTGATTATACTACTTTGTTTTTATAAAAAGGCTTATCCAGTGCCAAAGGTCCCATACTATTTTTTTGGGGGTGGAAGTATTATATGGATAGTATAAGCTAGGGAGCCTCCTACTTATCTTTTTCGAGCGGTATTAGGACCATGGACTTTAAGGACATGTTTGGATCTCAAAAAATGCTAGAGAAAAAGTCTTCTTGTGGAATACTGGAATGTTATTTGGTATTGGCTCAAAAAATACAAGTTAAATAAAATATGTTTAGTCTTTATGCAATAGAAATACATAAATAAAAACATGCTTGAACAAAAATATAAAGAATACGCTTTTTGAGTTGTAACCAATGTTTTATACCACCCGCACTCACCCTTTTTCTTTCTTTCAATGTTCCCATTATATTTTTATCCTTACATTCTTTGACATTATTTCACGTTCCAAACAGACCCTCAGGATACATGGGAAAGACTCCCCCAGTTGCGTCCGACCTACCCAATGTTTTAGTGTGCCGATTGTTATCTTTTTTATTACTTAATGTGACCAATTGAATGTTGATTGTAGGTATGCTTATCCATGGTGGAAGGAGAAGATAATCAATTCAGATTTAAAAAGAAAAGATGGCTTATGCCCATTGACTCCCGAGGAAACAGCTCTTACTTTAAAAGCATTAGACATTGATTCCAACATCCAAGTGTACATTGCTGCTGGAGAAATATATGGTGGAGAAAGAAGAATGGCTAGCCTTACTACATCTTACCCGAATCTGGTTAGTGGAGATAGTGGCAATCATTCATTTACCTTTCAATTAACATGACTGTAGTTTTTACCTTATGCGTGTGGTTTTCCTACTGAACAGGTTAGAAAGGAGACGCTTTTAGAGGCTGCTGATCTTAGATTCTTTCAAAATCACTCTTCACAGATGGCAGCCCTGGATTACCTCGTTTCCCTGGAAAGTGATGTTTTTGTTCCTACATATGATGGAAACATGGCTAAAGTCGTTGAAGGCCACCGCAGGTACTTCCCCACAATTATATTGTTTCTCTTATTTTCTGTTTTAAGGATAACTTTCTCGGTAGCCTGTGATTACTAATTCTCTAATACAAATCTTTTCTTTGAGTCCCTTTTCGGTTTGGGGATTTTGAAGCGGGAAGAGAAGGGTAGGAGTAGTAGTTATTTTACTAATTTATTGCTCTGTTTTTCTAAATTGAGACCAACAGGTAGAGAAAAACTTGTAAAACAAATTCACACTCACAAATTCACACTCCCTAACAAGACCTAAGAAAATGTTTGCCAGGAAACTTCAAAAGCATTTCTACTATGTTGTGGACTCTTTTTGGGGTCACGCTTATAAACGACGCATAAATGGTCCAAGGGCCCGAGAGTCTACATCTGGAAGTGGCTGAAGTTGGGAATAGGATATAGTTTCCTAATTCTAGTTGGTTTCCTAATTATAGTTGGTTTCCTAATTATAGTTTATTTCCTTATTCTAGTTACTTTATATGGCTGAACTGGGAAACAAGGATACTGTTTCCTAATTCTATTTTTAAGTCCTGATTCTAGTCTTGTTTCTAATTATTGTTTCTTTCCTATTTAGAACTCTAAGCAGCCTCTCTATATAAAGGGGTTTTTGCTATGGAATAAAGTACGTTTTTGGAGAATTAATTTGTGCGTCTTGACAAGGTCGGGCGCCGATTAGTTTAACAAGAATAGCTTCATTAAACTCTGCTGATTATTTTTCTCGTTCCCGATTAATATCTCGAACGCATCCCTGGACTAGGGCTAGCTCTCGCCTCCTTAACAATTTGGTATCAGATTTGGGCACGATGGGCAACGCACCGGTGACAACTGAAGCATTGAAGGCCTTATTACAAGGCGTCGATCAACGTCAAATTGACGTTGAAGAACAGTTGGCCGATATCAAGAACACCGTCACCAACTTGGCAGGAATTCCAGCAGCGTTTGCTGAGATGAGCAAAACTGTGACCAGCCTGTCAAACACTCTCAACCAATTGTTGCAGGATCCTCCATCATCCAGTCCACATGCTGGGCGGCCACGGCATACCGATAACCACCAACGCGACTCAGACGATGGGATGGTTCCACGCTACTCCAAGTTGGAGTTTCCCCAGTACGATGGATCCAGTGATCCATTAGCGTGGCTGAAGCGGTGCGAGCGGTTCTTCGTGCAGCAGCGCATCCAACCGCAGGCACAAGTAGGGTTGGCTACTTTTCACATGACTGGTAATGCCCAACTTTGGGCAGATCAGTTAGATCCAGCAGGAACAAGCCTTAACTGGACGGAGTTCTATATCCGTTGTTCAAAACGATTTGGGCCCCCAAGCAGCCACAACCCGGAGGGTGATCTGGTGAATTTAAAGCAAACGTCTGACTTAGAGTCTTATATTACTAAGTTTCAGCAGTTGCTAGCCCGAACAGCTGGAGTGTCGACCCGCATGCAAATCAAAATTTTTATGGCTGGACTTCGCGAGGCAGTACGCGTGGAGGTCGAATACCAGGAACCCGTTGATCTTGACACAACCATGATGCTCGCCAGAAGCAGCGAGCGCAAATTCATCGCAACTGCGACTTTAACAAACAGCAGTACATATGGATCCGGTAGGTCCAGTACTCAAATTCCTCACTCCGTTATCCCTGAGCCGACACCAGTAAAGAAAAATTACAACCCTACGTTTAAAAAATTAACTCGGGCTGAAGCTGCTGCACGACAAGAAAAAGGATTATGCTACAACTGTGATGAAAAGTGGATCCGTGGCCACCGATGCAAACGATTATTTTTCGTCGAAATTATGGATGACGACTTTGAAGAGGCCCCTGAAACCCAGAGTGAGCCTTCCTTGTCAATCAACGCAATGACTGGGTTCGGGTCACATTCCACCATGCAACTAGCCGCAACCTTGTTTGGACAGTCCCTGAAGGTTTTGGTCGACTCAGGAAGTACTCACAATTTTATCCACCAACGTTGGGTCCCCATGAACACCCTGCAGCAGCACTCGGGCACCCGCCTACAAGTTTTGGTGGCTAATGGAGACCGAGTACCCATCATTGGTACATGTTCGCGACTTCCGTTCACTGTTAATCAAGATGACTTTCATGCAGATTTTTATGTACTGCCGTTATCCGGTTTTGATATGATTTTGGGCATCCAATGGCTTTGTGGGCTTGGTTCCATACAATGGGACTTCTCAAAACTCTCCATGCAGTTTACTTGGAATGGCAAACCAGTGACATGGAAGGGTCGTGGGGCCGATGTTTCAACTGTCTCTCACATGGCAATCTGCCAAGACAGTTCTAAACCCTCTCTCAATGAGCTTCTATTGCACTTTGAGGATCTTTTTCACAACCCCTCTGGCCTCCCACCCCAGCGTGCATGTGATCACCGCATTACCTTACTCCCAGGCACGGGTCCAGTTGTGGTACGTCCGTACCGCTACCCTTATTTCCAGAAAGATGAAATTGAAAAACAATGTGCTGAAATGTTGACGCAAGGGATTATTCAACCAAGCCGATCTCCATTCTCCTCTCCGGTACTTCTCGTACGTAAACCAGACAAGTCCTGGCGTTTTTGCGTTGATTACAGAGAGTTAAACTCCAAGACTGTTAAAGATAAGTTCCCCATTCCGGTAATTGATGAGCTATTGGATGAGCTTCACGGAGCAACTTACTTCACGAAACTTGACCTACGCTCGGGATATCACCAGATCCGCATGGCCCTCGAGGATGTGGAGAAAACAGCTTTTCGAACACATCATGGACATTTTGAGTTCCTCGTCATGCCATTTGGTCTGACTAACGCACCATCCACGTTTCAGAGCTTAATGAATGATATATTTGGGCCGTATCTCCGAAAATTTGTCTTGGTCTTCTTTGACGATATCCTCATTTATAGCAAGACATGGTTGGAGCATATGTATCACATCCGCCTCGTCCTAGAGCTGTTACGATCACATGGTCTCTTCTTAAAACAGTCCAAGTGCAGCTTCGGGGCCTCCCAGGTGCATTACTTAGGGCATGTCATCCACAGCAAAGGAGTGGAAGTTGATCCGATAAAGATTCAGGCAGTCCGTGATTGGCCTACTCCGACTTCTGCTACGGCCTTACGAGGGTTCTTGGGGTTAGCTGGCTACTACCGCAAATTCATTCAACATTATGGAGAGATTGCGGCACCCTTAACCCAACTCTTGAAAAAGAATGAGTTCACCTGGAATGCAACAACAGACGCAGCTTTCACAACGTTGAAACTCCGTTTGTCAACCACACCTGTGCTTCAACTCCCAGACTTCACTAAACCCTTCATTGTGGAATGTGATGCTTCTGGGAGTGGCATAGGGGCTGTTTTGCAGCAAGAAGGGCACCCAATCGCTTATTTCAGCCGTAAAATTGCAGACCGCCACGTGAAATTAGCCGCATATGAACGGGAACTCATCGGGTTGGCTAAAGCGGTGACTCACTGGAGACCTTATTTGTGGGGTCAAGAATTTCTTATCCGTACCGACCACTCCAGTTTAAAACATTTATTGGACCAGCGTTTGACTACGTCCCCCCAACAACACTGGCTCAGCAAGTTAATGGGATTTAACTTTCGTGTTGAATACAAACCAGGGCGCCTTAACACTGTTGCTGATGCTCTATCTCGACGTGACGGATTGGAACCTGCTGTGGCAGCTCTCACAATTCCTTTTACCACATTGTTGGATGAGATTCGAGCGATCCAATCACAGTCTACAGAAATTCAGAATATTAAAAGCCAAATTCTAGCCGGTAATCGCACTTCTGAATGGACCTCACATGATGGTCTGGTTTATTTCAAGCACAAATTGTTCCTGCTACCCGACTCCACAATAATACCTACCCTTTTATCAGTCTTCCACGAGATGGCACATGAAGGCATCACAAAAACTCTTCAGCGTCTGCGGCGTGAATTTTATTGGACCGGCATGAAAAATTCAGTGGCAAATTATATCCGCGAGTGTCAAACATGTCAACAACACAAGTGGTTAAACTTACAACCCGCAGGATTACTCCAACCGTTGCCAATCCCGGAACACATCTGGTCCGATATCTCAATGGATTTTGTGGAAGGCTTACCAAAGGTTCACGGCAAGTCCACCATCCTCGTGGTCGTCGACAGATTGTCTAAAGCTGCACATTTTATCCCTTTAAGTCATCCTTTCACTGCTGTATCGGTGGCAGGGATTTTTTTTGCTGAAATTGTCAGACTCCACGGACTACCAGAATCCATTGTCTCAGACAGAGATAAAATTTTTGTGAGTAACTTTTGGAGGGAGTTATTCCGTTTGTCAGGAACCAAACTTGCCTTTTCGTCGGCCTACCACCCTCAAACTGATGGCCAGTCAGAAATTGTCAATCGAACGGTAGAAATGTTCTTGCGTTGTCTCACTAGCGCACACCCTCGCGAGTGGGTTCGTTGGCTTCCATGGGTGGAGTATTGTTACAACACTTCTTACCACACAGCTTTGGGTGACACCCCTTTCCGATTAGTTTATGGACGAGATCCCCCCAAACTGGTGACATATACCCCTGGAACAGCTAAACTAGAAGGCGTAGAGCAGGAACTCCTGAACCGCGACAACATCGTATCTGAGGCTAGACTACGATTAGCTCACGCACAGAACCGCATGAAACAATATTATGACAAAGGGCACCGCGAGTTATCTTTCACGGTAGGTGATTGGGTCTGGTTACGTGTGCATCCATACCGGCAGTTAACACTAGTCTCCCGTCACCACAAGTTACTGCCGAAATTTTATGGTCCCTTTCAAGTCACCGCAAGGATTGGTACAATGGCATACAAGCTACAGTTACCCACAGAGAGCCGCATATATAATGTCTTTCATGTATCTCTCCTCAAGCCACACAAAGGACCCGTACCAGAAACCATGGGTTCCTTGCCACCACAAGATACTGTCCCAGAGGTTTTGAGGCCATCCACAGTGTTGCGCAGTCGGCTGAATCGCGGGGTAATGGAGGTGCTGGTCCAGTGGCATGAGAAGCCCATAGAAGAAGCTTCTTGGGAAACAGTGGCGTCATTTCGCAAGGCTTATCCGGATTTTAAGCTTGAGGACAAGCTCTTTGCTAACGGGGGGAGTGATGTTGTGGACTCTTTTTGGGGTCACGCTTATAAACGACGCATAAATGGTCCAAGGGCCCGAGAGTCTACATCTGGAAGTGGCTGAAGTTGGGAATAGGATATAGTTTCCTAATTCTAGTTGGTTTCCTAATTATAGTTGGTTTCCTAATTATAGTTTATTTCCTTATTCTAGTTACTTTATATGGCTGAACTGGGAAACAAGGATACTGTTTCCTAATTCTATTTTTAAGTCCTGATTCTAGTCTTGTTTCTAATTATTGTTTCTTTCCTATTTAGAACTCTAAGCAGCCTCTCTATATAAAGGGGTTTTTGCTATGGAATAAAGTACGTTTTTGGAGAATTAATTTGTGCGTCTTGACAAGGTCGGGCGCCGATTAGTTTAACAAGAATAGCTTCATTAAACTCTGCTGATTATTTTTCTCGTTCCCGATTAATATCTCGAACGCATCCCTGGACTAGGGCTAGCTCTCGCCTCCTTAACATACTACCTCTCCTTGTCAATTTACTCAATTTGTGTGCTTAGAAAAAGACAAATTCTGTTTAAATTTCATGAGGCTGCTTGGGGTAAACTGGCAGTTCCAAGCTTATATACACTAAAAAAATCTTGCATGAGATTTGTTTGATTCAGCATAAATGCTCATTATGCTCTTGCATTGCTCTCAGACATCTTGGATACAAGAAGACAATCCTTTTGGACAGAAAGGTTCTGGTTGATTTGATAGACAAGTATGATGCAGGGTCACTAACATGGGATGAGTTCTCCAATGCTGTCAAGGAGGCTCACACCAGACGGATGGGTAGCCCGACCCGGCGGTTGGTCATCCCGGACCGACCAAAAGAGGAGGACTATTTCTACGCCAACCCCTGGGAGTGTTTGGTCCCATCAAACCCCAATGTACCAGAAATTAGTAGCACTTAAAGGTGGTGATGGACCCACATGCGTTTCAAGTACAATACCTTTGCGCCTCTGCAACAGGTTTAAGGAAGGTTTGGCCTCTACCCTTCCCTCCCCCACCCACCCCCCGCCTTATACACTGAGAAAGCAGGACTTTGCTGAGAGGCTGGAGACAGCTTACTTAAAAGTCATTGAAGGGGGGTCTCCCATGGCAGATGGAATATGTTTTAAATTTAATAAACCGAAGATTTGATGTATAGAAGCCCTGCCATTGCAGGGATATATTGACTGAACGGCTGTGTGTATACACAGATAAAAATACTCCATATATAGATCTGTTTTCTCAGAACCATCCCTTTAGATTTTTTTTAAGGTAACCATCCCAAAAGTTCTTTTTCTTTTTAAATATTTACATTTGTCCAATTATTTATTACCTTGTAGGCCATATAGTTGGGAATTGGGATGTGGGTTTGATTTTTTTTTTTTTAAGTATTTAGTCTTTAAAATCGTATTGACAAAATAGCATATTTTGACTGTACTTTTACATGTTCATATCATATGAGGATCTCACGGGGTAAATCTACGTGTAAAGTAATTGTGTCTACAAGATTTCAGTCAAAGCGTTCATGACACTTTACCATAGAATTACGTTTACACTTTCTTGGAAGGATATTTGTCCGCTCTACTTGGATAGTTTCGGTCTTGTACGCATATGATACATTTTGGGGTTAACGTAATATTTGTCTTTTTTTTTTGTAATTAATCCCAAGACATTTTGTTTTTCTGAATCTTGGTGTTTTAATTTCGACCATATAATGAAACTACATTTGTACAAACTAGGGTATGTAGTTAACAGCTAAAAAGAGTAGGACGAGCACATGCATCGGAAACCAATGCATTGTTGCATGTGATTATTAATTTATTATTATCCGAAATAAGATAAAAAGTGGAAGCACATATACCATTCCTACTGTGGTCCTACGAGTCACGGGCCAATTTTACGATAGGTGTTGTGCTGCTAGCTCATAATTAATTCATTCATTGCATCACCCAATTTTAATTCACACCAGCTCATTCTATTACCAGTTCTTACCAACTATTGTTATTATCACTAGATTGATGTTTGATATTTTTGCCATAAAAAGAAGAAAGAATGACTAGAAGAAGACTATCAAGCCCATATGGTAAAAAATCTGGGCCGATGGGATTTTAGACATAAAAGTGATTTAAAGAAGGGTAAAAGGTCTCTAATAACCCTGCTCTCAACCCTAAATTCAATCTCCTCAACTTCCCCATTTCACATCCGATGAATACCCCAGCTCTGGCCATTGCGAGTTTCGTCCGACAAATATGGGCATATGGTGACCAGATTTGTTACGAAGATGGAGACCAAACCTCGTTCCAGCCAACCCTCATCTTCATCTGCATCAACTCTTCGATCGACGGCGGCTGCTATGAAGAGAGACGGCGACTAGGGGTGGAAACAGGTCAGGCCAGGCTTTTGCCTAAACAGGCCAGGCCTGTTTTAGAAAATATAGGCCTGAGCCTGGCCTGTTACCTGTTAAAGGCCTGTTTTTTCGGCCTGGGCCTGGCCTGTTCAAAAGCCTGGTCTGGCCTGAAGCCTGTTTACCGGGCCTGTTAAGGAAAAAAATAAAATTTCAAAAAAAATACAAAATGAAAAGTGAAAAATCCTTTTAATCCGGTATAAAATTTATTACCCCAAATATTCACTAAAAAGTCTAATAAAACGTTAGTTGTGCTTTGGATGTCTAATAATACATTATTATGGACTATGGAAGTATGGAGTATTATTATGTAGTTTATAAATTATAAATTTCTATGTACTTTGATTCTTAAAAAAACTTTGAATTTCAATTACCTTAATAAACTATTAACACACTTTATATATGTTTAAAAAAGCAGTCTATTCTAATTTATAATACACACTCCCTAAAAATACTATTATACTGATTTGGATATAGTTGAGTATACCAATATAAATATAAATAATACAAATAAATATAAATATAACTAAATACATACACACACACACATAAATAGGTCGGCTTGTTAAGGTAAAAAGGCTTTAGAGTTGGGCTAGGCCTGACCTATTTAAATAAACGGGCTTTTAGAAAAGTTCAAGCCTAGCTTGATTACTAAACAGGCCAGGCCAGGCCTTTAACAGGCCAGGCCACAGGCCCCTGACAGGCCGGCTGGCCTATTGCCACCCGTAGCGGCGACTACGAAGAGCAATGATGGCGACGGCTAAACCTGCCACTGTAACTCCTCTCCTCCTCTACTTCTCTTCTCTTCCTTTCTCTTTGTCCGGAAATCGCCGTCGTTCGCTCCGTTGTTGTTCCCTCCTGCGGCGGCGATGAGCTTCGTAGATCCAACGAGGAACTTCTAATTTGGCTGATCCGACGACGTGCTTGGTCGGATTTGGAAGCCACTGACGACTTTGGTGCCCACGACAGATCTAGATCTCTGGTTTTGTGGGGCTTGTTATGCTAGGGCGGGGTAGGGGGTAGTGGCGGGGCAGTTGTAGTCGTGGCGGTTGGTGGCCACTGGGTCTGACAAAAGTCATTGTTGCTGTTGACGGCGTCGGCGGTGGTCACTATCACTGTAACTGTAATTGGCCGCCAGAGGTGGTCACTGTAACTGGCCGCCGGAGGTGGTCACTATAACTGGCCGCCGGAGGTGGTCACTGTAACTGGCCGCCGGAGGTGGTCACTGTAACTGGCCGCCGGAGGTGGTCACTGTAACTGGCCGCCGGAGATGGTCACTGTAAAAGCCACCAGTGTTGGTCACCGGCCATCAAGTCAAGGAAGGGAACACTTGTTAATGAAATGGTAAAAAAGGCATGGTAATAACATTTCTGGAAAAGTTTAAACCTAGTCTTATTTTTGTACGTGACTTTTCATTTAATTTCCTTGACTTTGCACTCCTCCTTTGAATCTTTTTACGATTCTAAGAAGGATTCCCGCGCGATCTAATAGCTCCTGATCCGTTAGTTCTAATGAAAATCGCATAACTTTCATTTCATTTCCTGAAAATTTTGAACATAAAACTGCTTGAGTTTGATAGAACTTGAAATCCTGCCTCTCGGTTGAGTCAAATCCAACTTCATTCAGGAAGACAGGAAGTCTAGCTTGCAAATCTGCTTGTAGTAAAGCCTCAGAAATAGAATTTTTATTAGGTGACAACTCCGGTACCCATTTAAAAAATGGGGTACTGTACCTACCATGTATTTGATTGGTCCAAATTAGAGGTGGTTCGGTACGGTATACCGAATTTTTTGTCGCATACCTTTACCATACCGTAAACTTTCGGTATGCAAAAATACATACCGTTACCATACCGAAAATTATCATGATTTAATACAACAAATTATTATATGTCAAATGAAATAAAGAAAATCAGTGTTAACAGTGATATGCTAAAATCATTAATGAAATTAATTATAAAATACTAATGAGATAATCTATTTGTGTTCTATTCAACTTTGAACAAAAAATATTATAAATATGTATAGATATTTCAACACACGATATATGAAGATAACACCACATTTTGCTAAAATAATTTAAACAACATAAATATAATTAAAATAACACCGATCTCCAACAAAAGTACAAATAATTCAAGAAACATGGATATAAAGTCATTTATCCTTGAATTAGTGTTGTGTTTCTAATTATTTTTATAATTTTAAGAAAATTATTGGCTTGGAATTACGGTATGACGGTATACCAGTATACCGCTTATTTCCAAAATATATACCGATACCATACCGAAGTAATTCGGTACGGTGTCATACCATACCAAAAGTGTCGGTATATCAAACATTTCGGTAAATTCGGTATTTTTCGATATGGCAAGTCCGGTATACCGAAATTTCGGTATTTTTTCCCACCCCTAGTCCAAATCATTATATCATTTTTAATTTAGATTTAAATAATTCAACTGCATCATCCTGATTGGTCCATGCGTACAAAGGTATGGTACCTTAAGTGTACCATAGAATCTACCTTTTTATTATCAAGTACATCGAAATTTCTAGAAATTTTATTCAGGTAGTACATCCACCCGGAGGCTTAGCAAAAAAAAAAAAAATCCATAGTAACCTTGGCGTTGAGTACAAAAAATTCTGAAAAAAAGTTAAAAAATGATCTAATCCTTCATTATTCCAATCCTCTTGAATTATTAGTGATACCTGACCGAAAGAAGTAACTCATGTTCTTTTTAGATCAAACGATAATAGCCTCCCAAATTGTTGCATTCATAGAGCCTGTTTGGTAGCACGAAAATCGGCTGTTTTGGCTGTTTCTGCTGAAATTTATGAAGTTCTGATCGAAGCGGCATTGGCTGATTCTACTGATTTAAGAAAAAATTATCTTTAAAATATATTTTTTTAATAAAATAAAGAAAAAGTGATATGTAAAATAGATAAAATGGTCATCTACGGTAACTTCAGCCAATACAGCCAGAAAAGTAACTTCAACCTTACTTTTTCTGCTTATTACACAATTCAGCGCGCAAAAGCGAAAATTACGTGTTTGGTGAAAAAGTTGGTTGATAAGCCTGATAAACCGAAAATCAGTGTTGCCAAGCAGCCTCATAGCTTAGCTTATTCTATTTTCGTCTCATTTTGTGTGTCCTACTTTGGTTTGACAGAATTATTAATAAAGTGATTGAAGAAGTAAAAGTTGTGGTTGAGATTTGAGTATAATAAAGTGTTGTAGATCACATGTTTCTTTTCACAAAAGAAATGTGAAACTTATTTTGGGATAATTTAAAAAGAAAATTATGACAGGTAAAATGGAACGGAGGGAGTGTAATTTTGATAACCCGTACGTGGTAAAATGACACGAATTAGAGAAATTTCGTTTTCCATATTGCAGCAAAATGTGATGTATCCCTTTTTAAATTCAGAAATGCAAAAAAGCCCTTCAATCAATCGAGAAAGGGAAGCATTTGCTTTCAATTTGAATCAAATCTTTGTGAATTCCTAGATCCCTGTGAATATCCGGATTCTTGGCTGCTCAAAGGAATCCCGAAGACGACTCAAAAGCTGAAAAATGGAGTTTTTTCCCAATCAATGGTTGTTTTCAATCTTATTTCCTAAAATGAGTTAGTTTTAAACATATTTCCCAAATAAGGGATAGTTTTCTCAAAGTCATCCGTCATGTCAACACAATTGCCATATTCACCCTATGCCTTGTCAGCATGACGAACACGAACATGTCATCCAAAATTATTTAGTGTTGAAGTATTTTTAATTTTTTTTATTTCAATTCACATCCAAAATTAAGTTTTAGTATATTATAATTATGTATTTATTTTTAATTGATTATCTAAAATTATTATGGTTCAACTATTTGAGGAAGAAGTAATGTATTTTTTAAAAAAAGTGAGTAATGCA